CTGGAATTTGGTGGATATGTTATACACATTTTTACTCCACATTTATGTTCACTAACAACTGTTCTCACGTAGCCACACACTATTAGACAGAAAAGACAGTTAGTGAGCAGTTGCTTTCTAGTTCCTAAAGGTTATCCAGATAACCGGTGTTCGGAGATTAGATTGAGAATACCTATATTTCCTTAATCTGTATTGTGCTTATTAATGGTTTTCGTTTTCTCCACAACGTCCTTCCTGGCAGTTTGGCAGGCCTCAGATTTATGTAGATTACAGGAAGTTGTGCGACCCTTCAATTACAGGTTGGAGAAAATTTTCTCCACGTTTAAAGACTAATCATAAAATGACATACGTTTAAAAAGATTGGTGGGATATTGACTTATTTCTAAAAAATATTGCGTAGTGGTGTGCAAGTTGTCTCACCTCACTATTTCAGTAGTACAGGACTGATATTGTGAGCACCTAATGTTGTATCTAGTCGCAAGGTCTTCAGTCTTCATTATACTGTTCCAGGATCTGAGTGGTTTTTGCTTATATGATCATGTGATCATCTGTTGCCTTTGTATATATTCAGTAGTGCTATTCGAGGAGTTAGGTGTTATTGTAGCGTGCTTCATTTGAATGTCTGCTTGGCATGATTGTGTAGGAAAGTAGTCAATAAAGACCTGTCACTACTAAGTAGGTGAGGAATTCGTTGCTCGTCTCGAGAGGGATTATTATACTATGTTCCTTGGTTTCGCCAAAATATTGAACTCATTACTGCATGCGTTTCTGGTAATGATTGTTGGATAAGTGGGTTTCGGAGGTCCAGTTTTATCGTTTCCCATAACATCTTCAATAACCCTGGTTGGTACTGCAATAGGTGACGACGCAATATGAAAGGAGGACGACAGTCCGTCAAGACTTGATTACCTACTGCGAATGACTAGCTTCTAGTTGAGAACGTCCATGTCAAAACACTCAGCGAATATCGATCACACCACGATAATATTAAATGTAATCACAAGCCAGATGCTTCACACGCCCAAGAATCCTCTATGCCTTCACTAGAACGAGACGAACCAAGCGACTGTTTAGGAGTATCCCCATCACGCTCCGTGACCAACTGCGTAATGGGACTTAACTAGAATGTATAACCTAGTGAGTAACACACGCAACCGAAAAAGAGTTCTTCCTAAAACCCGTCATTCCAACGCATGAAGTAATCCTCGACAAGTTACACACCAAAGAACAAATACGCAACAACGGGTTTGTCCTATCTGAAACACTCTTTCAACATACGTGTCCACACCCCACTTTTTAGTCAGTTCTAATAGGAAAATCAACAACCATGTAAGTACTCATGGTCTGCCATCCTTTGCATGAAATAGTGACCAGATCGTACACTAACGGATTAATTCGTTTTCACTTTCATTTGCATTACCTTTCCATACCTCGTGATCCACCCGTGATTGTCTGTTAGCATTAGACTTCGAAGATACGCCTCGAAAAATGTATGAATTAGCGAGATAAAAACGGGAAATTTATAAGGGATTTAGAATCTATGGATTTGTGGAAAGACAAAGAATGGATGCACCTGCTCCATTTTAAGCGATTTTGACCCATGTCATTCAATTCTAACCATTATTTGCGATAATCATATGGACCTTAATCAGGTAGTCTGTACCTATTAAAATGGTTTCCAATTGTCATTGACTTCAGTTAATTAGTTTGCAATTCGATGTAAACATCACACATTTAAGCTCATGGCTATTCCGAATAAAAATGTTTACATCACCCTACTACACAAACCGGAATTAAATTTCAAAATAAGGGCTCAGAACAGTTCTCAGTAGCATATACAAATATCATAATTAAACTTATCATTGTTGAAACGGAAATGTCCGCAAATAGCTGCTATTTCCTCACTAAAAATTCGTTGGTTGATGTTGACTAATAATTTTTTACTCATGACAGTCAGTCAGTCAGCTACAACGTAGGACCAGGCACATATGTGCATCGGTCCAGGTTGCCATACCTCATTAGCACAGCAAGATGAACACCGGATTCACAGGAGTGGTTAGGTCTAAGGTTGCAATAAGGATATAGTATAGGAAGAAAGAATTAGTTCGTAGAAAGAAAGATATGAAGTGATTTTAATCTCTTAGTTTAAGGGAGACAAGCAATCATTTATTTGAAACATGGAACGCTGATTGGTGGTGACTTTAAAACTCACCTGGTACATATCTATGTAAAAAATCCTCGTTTTATTTATGAACCAGATGTTTTAGGAAGTTTATGTGGTAAGACTACCGAGTGACGTTTTATTTAATGCTAATAAATTATATTACCATCATGCCCCCAAATGCCCTGGTACGGCCGAGAGTGGGGAGAGACCGCTCTCCCTCTCAAAATATTCTCACACGGCCACGCGTATACAGCCTCTGCTAGGGAAGTCCCACTCATTGCCCTCTCACAGCGAGGGTGTTGTTTACGAAAATGAGAGAACGAAAAGCGAATGTCCGGCGCTTCAACCGGATCCCAAACCAATGGTGCACATGGGCTCTAGTATCCTGCAAGAACCAAATAGCGTATGAACCAATCGTTGGTAACTGGCTGCCATGAGAATGCATCTCCTCACGATGCTCCACTGCCTTGTGGATCACACCTTTAGGTCAAAGGCTCGAGGTGTTGCCCTCTAAGAAAACCACCTGCTTCGTTTTGGGCACCAGGGCAGCATCACAGCCCACACACAAATAAAATGAAAGTGATGATATTACTGAAAATTCTATTCTCACTTCGATTCACAGTCAAACAATTCACATTATTATTATTATTATCATTTACTACGTCATTTACTCACTCTTTTATTCCCACCTTATGTATCCTTATTTTTCGATTTATACAGCAGCTCGCCTATGGTGGAAACTCAGTTCTATCTAAACGTTCTAGAGTCACTGCCTGGTTGAAAATTGTATGTTACCACCAAATATGAGTACTCAAGCAGTTTTTCTGAAAATACGTGCACCATTCAAATTGGCTGCCTTCAACGTTCGCACGCTTATGCAGGTCGGACAACAGATAGGGCTGGCTATGTCTTAATATCGACGTTTGTTGTCTATCCAAGATCCGTATTCAAGACTATGGTGAAGTACTAAAATTCGCTCTTCATATGTCGCTTCGAAAAGCTTGTTTTGCGTGCGTTTATCCGAAAACCCTGTGGCATCTTCGTCTGACCTTGCTGGCATTGGTGTCACACTAATCGCTAGAGCTGAGGCAACACTAACCGATTGGATCCCAATTAACAGTCGGTTTTGTGCTGTTAGATTAGAAAGTTCCATCGAAGTGAGAAGAAATTGGCGTGAGAAACTATGTCTTTTCGTCATCTCCGCCTATGCCCCGACAGATTGCAGCTCGGATGCAATCAAGGATGAGTTTTACCACCAGTTAACTGTTCTTCTCCAGAAAGTGCGTTCGACAGATATTGTAGTACTAGCCGGAGACTTGAATGCTCAGGTCGGGCATCTAGGCATCTCAAGCCTGGACTCAGATTGATCGCATCGTGATCAGCTACCGCTGGCGTGGTTGTGTACGAGACTGCCGCTCCTTTTGGAGTACCTATCTGGACTCTGACCATGCCCTGGTCTGCGCCAATCTTACCTTACTTTTCAGTGGCCAACGAAGTGACTGCCACCAACGGATTGATGTTAGCAATCTGGTTGCAACTTCTGTTGCTAGCAAGTATCGAACCGAGCTAGCTGCTAGGCTAGCTACCATTCCACCGAAAAGTATAGATGAGCATTGGTTGCAATTGCATGACGCCATGAAAATGGCGAGTACAGTCAGTTGTGGGTTTGCGAAACGTCCCGCTTATAAGCACTGGGTTTCTTCTGGTTCCTTACAACTCATTGAAGCCCGTCGGTCTACTCCGGGTGACCGTGAGTTTGACCATAAACGAAGGATGTTACGTAAGTAAATTGGGCAAAGCTTGCGTAAGGACCGAGAAGCCTGGTGGTCGGAGCGTGCTAATGAGTTGGAAGCAGCAGCTGCATCTGGTAACTACCGGAAGCTCTTCCAACTCATCCGAGCCACTGGCAGCAAGAAGTCTGGTGTGAGCGAAACCATCTGTGAGAATGACGGGATGCCAATCACATTCTGGAAGCAGCTCTGATGGATGTAAGTAATGGTGGTGTGGATCTGTTGCCTGGAGAAAGACTTCTCGACCTTGAGTATGCGAATGATATTGTCTTACTGTGCGATAATGTTCAAGCCATGCAATCCGCATTTAATCAGTTGGCAATCAGTGTCCGTAGGTATGGTATGTGCTTTGCACCTTCGAAGTGCAAAGTACTTCTACAAGACTGGCAGGATTGTAATCCTGTACTCACCCTGCATGGTGAGCAGATAGAAGTAGTCGAGAAGTTCGTGTATCTAGGTAGCTGCATAGGTGTTGGTGGGGGCGTGAGTGGTGAGATCAATGCACGAATAGTGAAAGCCAGAGCGGCTTCTGCCAATCTGGGCCACCTTTGGCGCCTTCGTGATGTTAGTCTGGCTGTAAAAGGTCGGATCTACAACGCGGCGGTGAGGGCAGTTTTGCTCTATGCTTGTGAAACCTGGCCTGTCCGAGTTGAGGATGTTAGACGACTCTGTGTTCGATCATCGTTGTCTCCGAAGGATTGCTGACATCCAGTGGCAAGACCATGTCAGTAATGCAGAGGTTCGGCATCGTGTGTTCGGGTACAGAGATGATAATTCAATTGGTGTCACCATCTTGAAACACCGACTTCGGTGGCTTGGACATGTTCTCCGAATGTCGTCCCAGAGAATTCCACGTCGTGCATTATTTGCCGACTCTGGGACTGGTTGGAAAAAGCGGAGAGGTGGTCGGTGTATGACATAGTGTCGTGGTATGAAAGAAAGCTGCAAAGGACTGGCTTCTGTCGGTCCTTCACGACTCCCTGGTTGGGGTCCGAGAGATGGTGCTACACAGTGGCTAGAGACGTTATCAGATGTGGCTCAGAATAGAAGCCAGTGGTGATCCTGTTGTAACCTTCTTTTACTTTCTTGATAAAAAGTAGTTGTGTCTTCCTTAACTGGAAGATTTCTTCTGGGTGTACCTTCCAGTTTCCCCCATTATTATTATTATTATTTTTAGTAGTAGTAGTAGTAGTAGTAGCATTATTAGTATTAGTCTTAGTATTATTATTACATTACCTCACACTAATCTGGTCGTCATTGTTCTTTTTTTCTTCTGCTCTCCTTACCTTCTTTTTTCCTCTTGCCATTCTCATTGTTTCGTGTGGCGCATATATATTTGGCGACCTCTTGGTCCAATATTTATGTGTTCAACTAAATAAAATAAATTACATTTTGCGGTCACTTTAACAATTAGAGGATCTAATCTTGCTTCTCAGTCTCTTTCTTTAAGGTTTCATACCACCGTAAAATTTAACTTTTTTCCGTCTTGTGTTCTTTTTTCTTAGATTGTTCTATGTTTATAGTTTTCTTTCGGCTGTGTTTTGTAAACTGTGTATATCCATCCAGAAAACACTAAGTGATTGAATACTTACAAAATTTGAATAAATTAAAATTTCTGATCATGCCAATTCGTAAAGAAACTACACGTCATCATCTTAGAGATATAATACACAAGGAAAGGATTCAAAAAGCAAAAGAACGTAGAATCAAACGGAAACAACGGAAAGAAAGTGGTGCACCGGCAGGAATTCCTCAAACTCTTGAATCACTTAGAACAGTTGATGAAACAATCGTTCCTAAAGATGATGAAGAAGTTGTCATTGAACATGAAACAGTATGTTGTATAAAATAAATTCTTAAATTTCTCTAATCTAGGATGAGTTTTCATCTATTTTTAGTGGAGAAATTACTCCTAAAATTTTGTTGACTCATTCTGATCGTGTTTGTCCTAGGACAATCGGATTTTGTAAAGAACTAAGTATGGTAAGTATTGCTTTACATTGTGACATTTTTTCACTTAAGTTTCAAACTTTATTAGTTTCCAACATTTTAAGAGGGGAAGAGTAAATAAAACTACTTTTGTTCTTGCATTTTTGTCGATCATCATGAAGACGTATGTGCATTCATGAGTAACCCAAATTTAGTGATTTATATTTCTGAAGTTCAGTTTAAAACTGTGTAAATTTATTGATTTTAACAACTTATAATTTATTTATTTATTATTTATCTTAACACATAGATATTGGTACAAGAAGGCACCAAATACATATACGCCACACAAATCTCATTTGATATGTGTGAGGGCTGGGATACTACCCGGGTGCCCAAACCGAAGCAGGTGGTTTTCTTAAGGGGCCGCACCTCGAACCTTCGGCCCAAAGGTCTGATCCACAAGGCAGTGGAGCATCGTGAGAAGATGCAGTCCCATGGCAGCCGGTGACCAACGATTAGTTCATACGCCATTTGTCTACTCAGGATACTAGAGCCCATGTGCACCATTGGTTTGGAATCAGGGTTTTCCAACCCCCCTAGGTGGACCCTCCATGTCCACCAACCCGGTTAAAGCGCCGGACGTTCGCTTTCCATCCTCTCGATTTCGTAAACAACATCCCCGCCACGAGAAGACAGTGAGTAGGACTTACCTGGCAGAGGCTATATACGCGTGGCTATGTGAGAGCATTTTGAGAGGAAGAGCGAACTCTCCTCACTCTCGGCCGTACCAGGGCATTTGGGGGCAATTAATTTACTAAATAAACTACCAATAAACAATTATCTACGTAAGATATTGCATGTCTGTTGGCCGGATATCAGCAACAGCCCTTTGTGGGAGAGAACAAACCAGTTTCTAGCTGTAGAGAAAATTAGAAACAAACGCTGTAAGCGGATAGGACATACATTACGGAAACCATCAAACTACATCACAAGGCATGCGCTAACTTGGACTCCTGAAGGGGAACGAAAAAGAGGAAGGCTAAAGAACACACTGTGCAGTGAGTTGAAAGCAGACATGAAAAGAATAAATAGCAGCTGGAAACAATTGGGAATGATTGTCCAGGACAGAGTTGGATGTAGAATGCTGGTGAGCGGCCTTTCCTCCACTTGAGGTAATAGGCATAAGTAAGATTACCGATACACGTTGATTGTAAGCACTAATAGTTACAAAATTTAGTTAAAGGCACATTGTCTCCGAGCCACCTGATATATAGATAGTTTTTTTCAGAAAATCTATCATTTTATTTTAACTAACATTGTTTCTAATTTCGTATATAAATTATCAGGTCATTCCAAATGTTCATCTTGTTGCACGTTGGCATTTACCTCTTAAAAAAATTATCCCTATGGCTATTGAACGTCAATTCACTTGTTTAATAATTGTTAATGAAGATCAGAAAAAAATTAATACTCTAATAGTTAGCCACTTACCAAACGGGCCAACAGCTACATTTCGCCTAACTAATGTGTTACTTCGTCGTGAAATGCGTTCAGCTAAAAAAGCCAAATATATTGAATCGAATATAATACCACATTTGATTACTACACGTTTTATGACACGTCTTGGTCTACGTACTGAACGTATTTTAAGTTCATTATTTCCTAATGAAAGTCGTTTACCGCCACAACCACATAGTAGAACAATTGTTTTTCATAATCAAAGAGATTATATCTTTTTTCGACATTATCGTTATATACATCGTGATACAACTGATGTTCATAACGATGATGATAATGAAAATGAAGGTAAACATAATACAGAACATATCGCAATGAATGAAGTTGGACCAAAATTCACATTGAAATTACGTTCAATTCAACTAGGTACTTTCGATAGTCAATATGGTAATTATGAATGGGTTCGTAAACGAACAGAAATTGGTAGAAGTCGGCGAACATTTATCTTATAGTTGATAAATAGTATTTCTCTATTGTAAATATAACTATTTATTAATTCAATAACATGTTTGTTTATTTATTCCATAAAAATAACCTATTTAGTCTGCAAATAGATTATATGAGAAGTTAAAAATGTGTATTAATTAGTGTTCGGTTTTAAATATAACTTTAGTAAACTATCCATTTCTAAATCCCAACTACCACCCCTTATCAACTAGTAATAATAATGACCTATAATTCAAACCAGATATGAAAAATTATTTAACAAATGCGCTATAGACTCAACTGCCTGGTTACAAATGCTTCGTTTTTTTATTGAAATCATGATCCGATTTAAGTTAGACCACCATTGAAAACGTAAAAACACTGGATGACCGTTTACGTCTCGTCTTTACTTTAACAATATTACTAACACTTTACAAATAAGTTGTAATAAAACGTGCCTGGTGTATTTATTAAACCTCAAAGACACTATTCAATGCCGATTTTAGCAGTATTGATTTTAATCTACCAGATTAGAGTAGAAGTTCTGATATATGTACGCAGAGCTCCAAGCATGTAATGAACGAGAACACAGGCTGGGGACAAACAATAATATTTCAATACAAAATTACAGAATATCTCGATAAAATATAATAACGATACATACATATCCCATCAATTGTCTCGAACTTCATTGCCACAACAGTTACTCTATTCCTGTTCTCTTCGATCTTCTCAACCTTCTGATGCTAGGTATTCTACTTCTGAGGTGTGTCATATATTACTTATGTCGACGTAAGAAGCATATCGAAATATTGTATTTTATGATAACGGATCCATTTGATATGTCTTAGTTTATTATTCAGAAATAAGATCAAGGTATCTTATCACGTGAAAAGTGACTTTTAGAGTAAGTCGTCATCATTTTAGTAACTGCAATAGCAACAATACCTAGTGAGTTCTACTGAAGAGCGAAACTACTAACTGGACGAAATAGCAATCGATCCCAGTCCGTTGATGAAAAATTTAGTTGTCCGTTTCCTAATATCAGACATACAGACGTTTCCGCTTCACTCCATTCAAGTAAATAGATGTCACACTCCAAGACTCGATATCGAACTTCGACAAAATCTTAAGGATATCACAACGTTCAAACCGTAGTTTGGTGACTCATCCATTTTTCTTTTGATTTTAACGTAACCATGATTTTTAGTTAAAACTACCTTGAGTGAATGCTTCAGACATCTAACATTGCCTGGACTCTATATATTGCTAACAGTAAATATGTCTTACAATATGAAGAACGTGTGGAGCTCCAACATGTGGTTTGAAGCTTGGTAGTAGTAATCTGGAGTTGTTAATCCTGTAGTGCATATACAGCTGTTTAGGTTCGATGGCAACATCCTGAAGGACATAAATTGATAGTAAACATAATGGATGGATATGCTGACACGTTATCACTATCTACAATTTAGATAATGCTTTTGGAGAATCTATACAAATCTATTATTCTTACTAATTTAGGTACGTGACCAATCCTTTTCTTTATCCTGCACACATTCTTGAATGCAAATCACAACAGATGCACATATACTTCAACTATACTATAAAGCTAAACTTAATGAGTACACTCAAACATCACTATCGGAAAAGTATATTATACTGAAGATCATGAACAACTTAACAGGAAAGTGTTTAACTGCAAGACAATTGACGATAAATTTACAAATGTCAAATAATTTCGACGTGATTAATGAACCCTTATATGTTGGATTATCCGTTAGAGTAAGGGAAAGAAAACGTCAGGATTACGTTTTACGGGTTGAGTTAGTGTCATGATTTATATTTGTCACGACCTGATATCAACTATTATTCAATAATACTTTTCCACCGTTTACTACACACACTTATGAGAGTTAGGGTTGAGATTTTAGTTAGCGTGGAAAGAAACCGTTTAGCAACACAAATACTCTTGAATCAGATCAAGCACTCTGAAATCATCTACTAATCAGGAACATGTTTCCTATAATTCAGTATAAACACAATGTCATACTCATAGTTTGGTTACATTAATTAGCTCAACGCTATCAGTATAATACTCTTTTATTATACTGTCCATTCTATAAAACTGACCGGACTAGATAACTTAAGAATAAGTAAATGTAATTATTGTTTGTATTTTCGCTGTATAAATATTAAATACTCGGCGTCTATTTTTTGTCAAAATATTCGTTCTACTAATGATAAATATTCGTATAAATACTTGGAACATTGTATTCTTATATTGTCGTTTATACGTTTTTGTTCAAAAACTATTGTTGTAGATGTTACATTCTTTAAATTATTGTTCATTAATTAAAGACCTATTAATCAGTTTATTCTTTAACTAATGGTGTTGGTATGGATAAAATCTAATGTTTTATTCATACTGTTGTTTCATTAGGAACCTGTCGTTATATATATATATATATCTGCGTACGAACTTTCTTTTCTGAATAGACACTAGGTTGGAACGAGTTAGATGACCAACAAGTTTTATTACTTGAACACATGAATATTGTTACAAGAGAGCGCCAATATATATGCGCCACACAAAACAATGAGAATTCGAAGAAAAGAAAAAAAAAGGGACAATAACGAAGAGGTTGGTTTAAGGTAGTGTAGTAATAGTAATAATGAGGGAACGGAAAGGTATAATCAGAAGAAATCTTTCAGTTAAGGAAGACAACCACTTTTTATGAAGAAAGTAAAAGAAGGTTACAGCGAGATCGCCACTGGCTTCTATTCTGAGCCATATCTGATAACGTCTCTAGCCACTGTGTAGCACCATCTCTCGGACCCCAACCAGGGAGTCGTGAAGGACCGACAGAAGCCAGTCCTTTGCAGCTTTCTTTCATACCACGACACTATGTCATACACCGACCACCTCTTCGCTTTTTCCAACCAGTCCCAGAGTCGGCAAATAATGCACGACGTGGAATTCTCTGGGACGACATTCGGAGAACATGTCCAAGCCACCGAAGTCGGTGTTTCAAGATGGTGACACCAATTGAATTATCATCTCTGTACCCGAACACACGATGCCGAACCTCTGCATTACTGACATGGTCTTGCCACTGGATGTCAGCAATCCTTCGGAGACAACGATGATCGAACACAGAGTCGTCTAACATCCTCAACTCGGACAGGCCAGGTTTCACAAGCATAGAGCAAAACTGCCCTCACCGCCGCGTTGTAGATCCGACCTTTTACAGCCAGACTAACATCACGAAGGCGCCAAAGGTGGCCCAGATTGGCAGAAGCCGCTCTGGCTTTCACTATTCGTGCATTGATCTCACCACTCACGCCCCCACCAGCACCTATGCAGCTACCTAGATACACGAACTTCTCGACTACTTCTATCTGCTCACCATGCAGGGTGAGTACAGGATTAGAATCCTGCCAGTCTTGTAGAAGTACTTTGCACTTCGAAGGTGCAAAGCACATACCATACCTACGGACACTGATTGCCAACTGATTAAGTGCGGCTTGCATGGCTTGGGCATCATCGCACAGTAAGACAATATCATCCGCATACTCAAGGTCGAGAAGTCTTTCTCCAGGCAACAGATCCACACCACCATTACTTACATCCATCAGAGCTGTTTCCAGAATGTCATCGATGGCAAAGTTGAAGAGGAATGGTGAGATTGGGCGACCCTGTCTAACCCCACTGCTCGAATGGAACAATGGAGAGAGGTGGTTGTATGCCCTCACTCTGCCTGAGGTGTTTTTATATAGGGTTTTAGGATGTTAATAAACGTCTCAGGCACACCCTTCCTCAATAGACAATCTCAGAGAACAGTCCTGTCCAACGAATCGAAGGCAGCCCTGATGTCAAGAAACACTGCGATTGTTGGTCTTTGATAAGTATGACGGTGTTCTAACATTTGGCGGAGGGTGAAGATATGATCAATACATCCTCGACCAGAACGAAACCCAGCCTGCTCCTCGCGAGTCAATCTTTCTCGGGTTTTGAACAACCTACGAAGTATGACGGAAGCCAATAGCTTGGACGCAATCGGAAGTAGACTTATCCCTCGATAGTTGTTACAGGAACGACGTGAACCCTTTTTAAAGATAGGGACAACTATCGACTCATTCCATGACGTTGGAACACTCTCTAACACCCAAACATTTGTAAACAACGTCGTCAATTCCTTAGTCAGAAAGTCACCACCATCTTTAAAAAGAGCCGGAGGTAAGTCATCTGGGCCAGGTGATTTGTAACGCTTCAAGAGTTGGAGTTCCTTGCGGACTTCCTCCTCGTTTGGTGGATCAGTCGTCACCGGCCATGGAGGGCAGGACAGTCTGACCGACGTTGCCGGAGCAGCAGGCCAGTTGAACTGCCCTTCGAAGAATTCTGCCCACCATCCAAGACATCGATGGATGTTAGTGATTGGCATCCCATCATACTCACAGATGGTTTCGCTCACACCAGACTTCTTGCTGCCAGTGGCTCGGATGAGTTGGAAGAGCTTCCGGTAATTACCAGATGCAGCTGCTGCTTCCAACTCATTAGCACGCTCCGACCACCAGGCTTCTCGGTCCTTACGCAAGCTTTGCCCAATTTCCTCGCGTAACTTCCTTCGTTTATGGTCAAACTCACGGTCACCCGGAGTAGACCGACGGGCTTCAATGAGTTGTAAGGAACCAGAAGAAACCCAGTGCTTATAAGCGGGACGTTTCGCAAACCCACAACTGACTGTACTCGCCATTTTCATGGCGTCATGCAATTGCAACCAATGCTCATCTATACTTTTCGGTGGAGTGATAGCTAGCCTAGAGGCCAGCTCGGTTCGATACTTGCTAGCAACAGAAGTTGCAACCAGATTGTTAACATCAATCCGTTGGTGGCAGTCACTTCGTTGTCCACTGAAAAGTAAGGTAAGATTGGCGCAGACCAGGGCATGATCCGAGTCCAGATAGGTACTCCAAAAGGAGCGGCAGTCTTGTACACAACCACGCCAGCGGTAGCTGATCACGATGTGATCAATCTGAGTCCAGGCTTGAGATGCAGAGGGAGGACGCCAGGTGGCACATCGGCGATGACTGTGCCGAAAGTTAGTGCTAGCCAGAAACAGGTTGTGGTCTGTGCACAGTTGCAGTAGACGGACCACGTTATTTGTCCTGCAACCAACGAGTCCCCATCGCCCTCCTAAACGACTCTCTTCTGTGCCTAGATGCCCGACCTGAGCATTCAAGTCTCCGGCTAGTACTACAATATCTGTCGAACGCACTTTCTGGAGAAGAACAGTTAACTGGTGGTAAAACTCATCCTTGATTGCATCCGAGCTGCAATCTGTCGGGGCATAGGCGGAGATGACGAAAAGACATAGTTTCTCACGCCAATTTCTTCTCACTTCGATGGGACTTTCTAATCTAACAGCACAAAACCGACTGTTAATTGGGATCCAATCGGTTAGTGTTGCCTCAGCTCTAGCGATTAGTGTGACACCAATGCCAGCAAGGTCAGACGAAGATGCCACAGGGTTTTCGGATAAACGCACGCAAAACAAGCTTTTCGAAGCGACATATGAAGAGCGAATTTTTAGTACTTCACCATAGTCTTGAATACGGATCTTGGATAGACAACAAACGTCGATATTAAGACATAGCCAGCCCTATCTGTTGTCCGACCTGCATAAGCGTGCGAACGTTGAAGGCAGCCAATTTGAATGGTGCACGTATTTTCAGAAAAACTGCTTGAGTACTCATATTTGGTGGTAACATACAATTTTCAACCAGGCAGTGACTCTAGAACGTTTAGATAGAACTGAGTTTCCACCAAAGACGAGCCGCTGTATAAGTATAAAAGAGGGTGAATAATGTGGATAATAATAATAATAGTAATAATAATAATGACAATAATAGTAGCAATAATAATAATAATATTAATAATGACAATAATAGTAATGATAATAATTTGAATCAATTGATGGTTTTTGGAAGCGAGAAAAGTAGTTTCCATAGACATAGAGAGTTCATCATTTGTGTGTGGGCTGTGATGCTGCCCGGGTGCCCAAAACGAAGCAGGTGGTTATCTTAGGGGGCCACTCCCGAGCCTTTGACCTAAAGGTCTAACCTACAAGGCAGTGGAGCATCGTAAAGAGGTGCATTCTCATGGCAGCCAGTTACCAACGATTGGTTCATACGCTATTTGTTCCCGCAGGATACTAGAGCCCATGTGCACCATTGGTTTGGGATCCGGTTGAAGCGCCGGACATTCGCTTTTCGTTCTCTCATTTTCGTAAACAACACCCCCGCCACGAGAGGGCAATGAGTAGTTTTAATCTATTTTATTGATCTTTGTGTTATTGGTAATGTAAAAAGTTACTGATTTTACAGACAATATATAAAGAATGTTGTTGGAAGATATACCAATTGCTTAAAAATTAAATTATGATTAAATAGTCGCTCAATTTCGTGGATTGGTTGAAGTCAGTCATTAACACGGCTCAATGGTCTAGGGATTAAGCGCTCCCGCGCGAGACTGGTAGGTCCCGCGTTCGAATCTCGCGGAGCGGGATCGTGGATGTACAGTGCTGGGGAGTCCCACAGTAGGACGAAACGGCCGTCCAGGTTTTTTGTGGTGATCTAGCCTCAATTGACTCATGATCTCAACCATTGAAATTACTATAATATCCACAAAAACCCTTCTGTTATGACTAAACAACAAAAGAAAACCAACTCATAATAAAAAATAGATCTAATCATTGATCAAGATTATACGTATATAATTTTTATTATACAAAATAATAAAAAAAAACATTTCAGTAATCTTATCATATATAAAAAACGAAAATATCATAGTTACTAAAAGGGATCGTTACAGTCAATAAAATTTGTATGTAAAAAGAAAAAAATTAGGGAAAAATAACAATAACCAAATAGGACAATACTGACATAGATATTTTAATGAACAAAATTAAATTTCACCTTCAGTAAATATCGTAAACGTATTTGATTTACACAATAGACAATATATTCATTAAATTGTAAAATACATTTATTTGCTTCAATTTCAGGTGCTTGAATTAATTTACCACATGGTACTATAACACCATCATTCCTAAATGAATAGAAGAAAAATTTATGAAAATAAAATTATACAGAATTATTTAAGCTAACATGGGTAGTGGCTAGCAATAGAATAGGACGAAACGTGTGTCCTCTATTCTACTGCTAGTCACTGTCCATCTTTGCTTATAAAGGTTGTGACTTAAGACTATATCGAGGCAATCCGTACAGGATGCACAGCACAATATACCAACATGAGACTGATCAATTGCAATCTTAAATAACAAATAAAACAACACCAAGTGAATTTATACATAATCTTCTTTAAAAAATATTGAAGACTACCATATGTAAACTTTCATAACTTTTTTCTCTGCTAATTATTATAGAATAAAATCGTCAATCTGAATACTGACTTATATGATTTTGTTCTTGTGCTAAATCAATGAATTACACGTCCAATCAGAATTAGCGGTCTTATGTTAACTTTAAATCTTTATTGGTCCTTTTCGCTTAACCTTGCCCATTGAGTGTAGAATGCAATCTCAGCCTCCATTGTATAAATAATATATGTCAGACTGTGAATGTGAGAAGGGATACTATAACTGAAGATCTAAACAGGAGATAAAGAGAGGAAGTTTCTAGGTCACTGAGATTAACTGTAGGCCATATCACACGGTGTAATTAATCGCTGATTACGGTTATCTCTAAGAGTTCAACCATGTGCACTACAACCAACAAGATGGCTTAGAACAGAAATCAATAATTTCACATAGCGACGATAAACCTTAGTTCGGTCGCTGAAACACCATCCAACATTATACATTGATTGGGCGTGCGTAACACATATTCTATTCACTTCAGGCACATCAACTGATACGCTATTTTGGCCTAACTTCTTTTATTCGACGTTAATATTTAGGTCGCGCATATTCATCTTACCTCTGTGGATAAAGCGGTAATCGATACACCTTAAGCAATATCTCTTTGACTGCGACTGACAGACATTTGATAAATGGTCTGTTAAAACCAACTGTAATATACTAACGTGGTATTGGGGTAATAGCTGATAAGCAATCACAAACAAGCAATAAACTGATATCTAATGAGTAGGCAATAGTCAACGTTATCAAACAAACTACTAACTAAGATAGCTCTTGGTTTGCAAGAATTATCTAGTTGATGTTAGTTTGTGATAAAAATTTGTCTCCAAGTTTACACCTAAAATGTCCACAGAACACATCTGTACTTAATTAAACAAATATTTACTGAATCAAAGTTATTCATTTTCGATATGCAGTTGTACTGTTAAAGGTGACCTTACTTAACATACCTCAACCTATTTTAAAAAAGAATATGGTTAGTTTGTGAGAAGTACGTCAATAAATTCATCCGGTCGATCATAAACAATGTACAACCTTGCACAAACTCATACAAGGTTTTTAACAGAAGACGGTAAGTTATTAAATGTTGATTGTAGTAAGCTCAATTTTATGATGTTCTTAACTTGTCTTCATATAGTGAATAACTAATAAAATAGTGAACAAGTTCAATTTACTTAAAGTAAGTGGTTATTATTAATCAAGTCAAAAACGTATAGAAATCTGTGTATTCAAAACATAATGTTTGATCTGCTCTCAATGTTGGATAAGTCATAATCTAGCATTGGTGTTTTTCGTCTCTTCTTTGTGTCATTTTAAATAAGTTTTAAGACGGAATAATAATCATATCATTATTAGGAGTTTGAAAGCGGAAGGTGCTGGGTTCAAGTCTAGGTATGAACCTGAACACTGAGATGCAGGTACATCTAGCTAAAGAGTCCCAAGTGGGACGAAACAAGCGTTTTGGATTCTGCTGATAGCCACACTCCGTCTATTCCATACAGTTGAATTAGTTATTTTGCAGTAATAATACGGTTTAAATTGCTATATTTCACAGCAGCGCAACAAACGAAAATGAAATGAAGTCAAACTCAGTTAAACGCTGTCAGATTACCAAGTCTGATGCTTCATTAGCTGAGGAGTAACAGCCTTCGACTGACAACGGGACAAAACCTCAATCTTAGTTTCAAATCATTACGTAAATGAAGACAGAACGGGAACCTAGCCGCATAGCCAGAACTGGAATGAAATCAAATACTTAACTGATTAGAATATAATGGTTGTTAACTTGACCGGTGCCATTAATCCATAATCATAGACCATTAATTTGAGCCATGTAGGTAGGTGCGGACTACCTGGTTAAGATCTGAGCGACTGTCATAATCAACAGTTGGTTAGCTCTTTTTTTAAACATAACCTGGAGGACATGTTTCAAACTAATCTTTCTTCAATAATCTTTGTGATTATTTGATTAGTTGTCTTTCCATTTTTAATTTGTTGGTTTTTTTAAGCGTCCCAAGGGTATTAGATGTAAATATATAAATAGAGTCGACTACTTGCAATGTTTGAATTTTTTATGAAATAGTAGGATATACAGGAAGTCCCATCTTTTCTATCAAGTGTAAGGGTGTAGCTTATTAAAGTTGGAGTGTTGTTGTGTGCCTGTTACCGTTCTGCAAAGTCCGTCATAGATATTATTCATACTAGAATACGCTCAAATGTTCAATATTAAGTAATTACTGTAGGCCTGTACCGAACCTTAATCTCAAGATACAACAGTGATGCTGCTCAGAATCTCTTGTAATATTCCAGGCTCATCCATTTTTATTTTTCCTTATATCTTGAGTTGCAAAAATATTTTGGACGTTTTTATTCTATGAATTTATATTTTCCCAAACCATATGCTCTATGTCTAGCGTTCAATACTACTAATGATACTGTCACTATTTCAACTACTCCAGGTATAAGTTTTCACAATTTCATTTCTCTGAGTTGAAATGATGTGACAATAATTTGAAACAATGCGCAATATTTGCCATATTTTCATATTGTACTGTACTGGTTAAAAGTGTACAGATCCAGCAAAACAACCAGAATTGAGCAGAGTAGATTTTCTCTGCTTAAACAATAGTTTAAATTGTATAATAAACTATGCAACAAAAGGAAAAATCAATTAATTAGTTTACCAATATTAGTCACATGATGGACTAGTACTAAGTTGAAAATACTCACCATATGATAAATGATAGAGTAGAAAAGATATTTTTAATAGTTGAATTCATTAGTCGATCTAAGCTAGACCACCATTGAAAACCCGGAAGCATTGAACGGCCGTTTTCGTCATCATATGGGACTCTTCAGAAGGACGAAACGACCGTCCAGTGCTTCTAGGTTTCCAATGGTGGTCTAGCTTAGATCGACTCATGAATTTAACTACCAATATTACTACAATCTCCACAAACCCCCATTTTGATAGTATATATCTATTTATATAAGATGATATAAAAATGAAAAAATACATATTCGAAGCAGAAAACAACACAAATAAACATCTTACAAAGTTTTCCATGTTGCAGAATCTGTTCGCCATTTACCAACACCTTTTACACTATGATAATCAGCGAGATTTTCATGAGCATTATAACATGATTGATATAATTCTCTTTGTTTACCTAATGAGACCTTAGATGATTTCAATAAAAAAGAACAAATGATAAAGATTGCTGATCATTTAAATGGTAAATAAAATGAGATGGATTTTTGAATAAGGATAGGAAACATTCACAGTAATTAGTCATTTTAAACGAGTAAATTAATAAGGCTTATAAGATTTAATACAGTCTGAACAAAAATACAACTATGTATTAGTACAACTTATCTATCAAGATGTTTTGATTTCTCTAAGTACGACCCAGCTGCTCTTATTGTTTAGTATTTCTTGGACACTACTTCACTCCACAAGTCCGCAGATCAGAACATGGTTGGACTGGAATGTAATTATATTCCCAATAACAAGGGTAGATGAAAATAAAAATCACAATAAGAAAGACGTTAGTAATATTTATAATTTTTACATAAGATTTCATAGTCTTCTCTAAGTCTCCGCTAGCGCTGATGAGTTAAAAATAGTCATTCAACGTGCCCCAAAACAATACTATACGGAACATGCTTCAATCGCATCTAAATCCCGCTAACACAAGTATACATACAGTACAAGATTATGTGAGTGATATCGAGGTTAATTTTACGCTACTCGATAAAGATGGTCTATCAGTTGATGAGATTGTGAATTCTCATCGTTTGGTCACAATTCAATAAGGTACTCTGCAACCAACAACATAACAATCACTAACTTCATGGGATGCTGTCGATTTTCTGTTTCGTTGCGTCTAGCTTTTTTCCAACTACTTCTGTTCCAGTCAAGATTATGAGTTTGGGTAGGTAGTGACTGGCTAAATGCAGGATACATTTCAGCTACCCCCACTTAATGAAAGTTCAATACTATCAAAGAATAATCCGTCTTAGTAATCTAAACAGAAATAGCTCACTTTCTTGTTCCATTATACGCGGGTAATATTTGGAAGATTTCTATGATCGAAAACTAACAACCTAATGTTTTTAACTTTAGAAAATCATGTTTGACAGCCATGAATCAAAAGAGAACAAGCTGTTGCACAGTACACATATCCCTTTATTGACAGTTGTGCATCGCGCAAATATCACAGATGACATAAGCTGTTACAAAGCAACAGACACCAATTAACTTGGGTTCATAAGACTTCTAAAATAAATGAAGTGATCAATGCTCTTAACCAATTCATTAAATCACTAGTCTAGGAGATGATAGACTTAAAGCAATATTACTCATTGGAAGGGAAAGAAACGCATATCAAATATGCTCACCTTGTTGCTCAAGGCGACTAGAAGTCTAAGATGATAGTTTTAGTTATATGTTGTGGAATTAATGAAAATTAGAAAATTATTTGTGAACTTTTCCGTTTTATCAGAAGGGGTTTGTGGAGATTTTTAGAAATTTTCACAGATTGAAATCATGAGTCAGTTGAAGCTAGACCACCATTGGAAACCTGGAAGCACTGGACGGCCGTTTCGTCCTAGTATGGGACTCCTCAGCAGTGCGCATCCACGATCCCGCACCACGAGGGGCTCGAACCCAGGACCTACTGGCTTCGCGCGCGAGCACTTAACCATTAGACCACTGAGCCGGCACCATTGTCTTCAGTGAGCTGTTTTAGTTTGCAAATACTCAGCAGTATATATATATATATATATATATATATATATAATTTACCTCACAAACAATCATGAGTCCAACGTTGTTAGCTTGTGTTGGATAAACATAATTGGCTGATTTCGATGAACAATCAGCAAAATATACACCTTTTCCAAACATATAACCAGAAGATGGAGCTTCAGGCGGAGCAATTTGTAAACCTCTGCCTAAAATGCCAACCCAATTAGTTAAACGACTTCCATGCCAAAGAAGCATCCTATAATGATAATGAAAAACTATAGATAAATGTATGTATAGATTAAATATTGTACAACCAGATCACTTGATAAATTTAAACACACCAAGAATAACAAGGTTTGCAGAATAAAATGAATTCATCAGTCTATGGTTTGTTATCAGCTACATACAACCTGAAATTACGATTATTAATATAAACTTAATTTAAATTGATATCATGAATGGATGAATGTTAAACAACCATAGCACTCGGACCCAGGACCTTCAGTCTCGCGCGCGAACGTTAAACCTCTAGACCATTGAGCCGGTACCCAAAAGTGTTAATGTACAACTTCAACACCTGGAAGTACTGGACGGACGTTTAATCTTGGTATGGGACGCAATATTGTGGATTGGTTGAAGTCAGATATTAACACCGTTTGATACCAGTTCAGTGGTCTAAATTTAAGCGTTCGAGCGCAAAACAGAAGGTCCTGGGTTCAAATCCAATATGCAGAGTCGTGAACACGCACTGGTGCTTCCAGATTTTAAATGGTGGTCTAACATTCATCCATTCATGATATCAATGCAAACTCAACAATCTCCACAAGCCTATACTGGTAAATATAATTCTTGACAAATTTTTAGCATACCTTAGTATGTGCAGTTTACATGAATGTTCGAAACGTAACTAAAATCACAATAATCAGAAGAATAGGGATACAAAGTGTATGAATAAACATAGTTAAGATCTACGTGTCTGTATATGCTGGGAAGTAATCATTCACAGGTTATATAAAGGCAATGAGACTAATAATAAGTGATATATATACGCAGTTCTTCTAATTATACACCTCCAAAACATATACAATAAACAGTCAAATTTTGTCAAATATCTGTTAGGTCCCTACAAATAAAACAGTTCTCATGAGATATTTTCATGATGTGTTACAAAATAAAAAGGAATTGGTGTAACTCTTACTCCATAAAACTATACACACAATCCTGTCAAAAAACTATATTATTCAACATTAAATCAGAGAAATGTTGGGTTTATTTTCAAATTACCTATTCCCGTAATCTTTGAATTCTCCTTGTTCTGCAGATTTTTGACATTCGAATATATCTAATATTTCCAATGTATACCAATTATGTGTAACTCCATGTGTTTCGTGCATGTAATCGGTTAACAACTTCGACAACAAAAATATTTAACATTTAGACAGACGATGAACAGTCAAAGTAATAGGAATGGCATGTACAAGGAATTAAATTAATAAATTTTTAATTTACACTTCACTGACTACCGACTTACCTACTGATTGAAGTTAAGAACTGGCTACACTATAGCTTACTTGAGCAAAAGTCTGAATAGTCAATTTAATGCTTAAAGCACTTGTCTGTCAGCTGCAACGAAACATAGTTAACCTACATCAGCTTGGGTAGCCGAGGTAATAAGTCGCGAAATTTTCTTAATTGATAAAATAAATGTTAGAATATTGTAACGTTGAAGTTGACAACAAGGATGTAAAATTTCACAGTATGGGTTGTGATTTGTCAAATAACTACTACTGACAAACAAGTTAAGTACTAAGCAACTGTCCGTTTCACTTTTTTAAAAGAATTCTCGGGATTGCGATGCACTGGTGTATTCTACCAAAATATTCAAGGCAAATTCATCATAAGAACTATAGTCATGTGAGCAACTGTGCGAAACGCATCAAAAACTAATATTTCCAGATTGCATTTCCCACAGACTGATCTCAAAGGGAGTATTATAGAAGATCAGGTAGCCAAAGGACGGTTGTTTCGCACCATTATGGGAATCCCCATAAACCGTCGACAAAGACCCAATAGAGAACACGCTCAAGACATTCAGGCCTAGCAGTGAACACCTAATCTCTTAAACTACTGGATCGGGACCCACTGTTACATATTTTCAACTCCTATCAATTTGTGATGTAGCGCAACGACCACACATTGTTGTTAAGTATATCACAATCCCGATAGGTTTGAACTCTGTTAGTCATGACTTTTTACCAGAACCTCGGGAACACCTTGAAGTGCGTCACTAGTGAACTGATTACTATAGTCTAGTCAACTATATCGATGTTTTTTTTTACAAGATTGGTGGATACAGAGGGTCGAGTTAAGGGAATTGAGAAAGTCTGGTTTCAAAACATGAGTTCGACGATCCTAAAGAAATAAATGGCTTGTGAAAGGATTCCTGATCGTTGTCTACCATAGGACAGGATTCAATGACGTTCTACTGCTCGGAGAGTAGTTCCCTAAGAAAACTGCACTTGTTCCAGCTTTGGAGCTGAAAATTTATCTTAGCCCATATACAAATATTTTTTAGTGTGGTGCATACTATTTATGGTGCTCAGTTGCACTATATTTCACTCGTACTAAATAAAAGAATCAAATATGCATACAAGTGACAACAGTGAAATTTGTGATAAAGGTTATCGCTAAACCTTCAGTGTTTTCTACGACATTCCTATAACTCAACTGGTATCTGTTGACTAAGGTAGTCGTCTTGTGAAGATTTAGCATAAAATCATCCTACACAAGACCCAGTCCATTTTACGTCAGTTTTTGATGGAAATAACCTTTGATTTGTATAAACTATCGGTCACTATTATGTCTGAGCGATTAATCAATACTAGTTGTGGAACGAGATATCGAAAGAGTACGTCAGACTACTTTTCAGTTTCCGATATCTTTTACACTAAAATCAACCAAAGGAGTGAGGTGAATTTATTTATTCATTCATTGAAACAATTGAGAAAGCAAAATAGATACATAAAACAGTTCGGTATACATGTATGTGTAATTCTTACCGAATACATTGGATCAGTTGATCGCAGAGGTTTAATGTCACAATTCAGTCGTTTATAATTTACATCAATAATATTTTCAGTAGATGATTGATTATTCTTCAAAATATTTACAGCAAATTCAATATCGGATAAGGCTTCTAGTAGTTCAATTTTTGATTTGACTTCAGGCATTGTACGAATAACCGGTGGTATACGCATACTATAAGAAAAGTAAAAAACGAAAAAAAAATCATAAAGACAGTCGACATACATTTCTTATTAAAATAACCGTATTAGAAAAGTATTAAAATGTCATAATTATGAAAACAGAAGTCAAGTTGAACTAAATTTATTAGCTTGATTACAGCGCATATCTGACATAAGTGATCGGTTGCTCTACCTTACAACAAAACACCATAACAGAAAAATTAGGGGATATTGATAAGTTGAAAAGTAGAGAATAGGATACCAAAATCAATTATTAAGGAAAGCTAAACATAAAAATTGCATATTTTAAAATGAACAAATATTACTGAAAAATACGGTTAATGGCTTGGTGAGGTTTATTTACAGGCCTCCTCAGCCCAATAACTTACGCAACGTATCAAGTTTGTACTGCAGCTACGGCGCTGTTTCGGTAAACAATATCATATTATCTGTGTATATGAGGGGATCCACTAGCCCTTTGCGCATTTTGATATTTTATTTGCGCATATGACGAATAATAAAAAAGATAGGTGTTCCCCATGTTTAATACGTCGGTTTTTAATACATATCCGGTACTTTCCACAGCTAACCTATGATTATTAGCAGGGCTTCAAAGTCACAACAATGTTTTTATATGGATGAGTCGAGGATGGATTGCAGATCTGTTTTCCAAATCTCGTAGAATCTTCGCGAATTGGTAGATTTTGGTTGCTCACAACAATAAGGGTTTTCAATATTACTAGTCTCCCGCACCTTGTCAAATCCTTTATAGGACCAAACAAGGGTAATAATACATTCGTTTTCCACAACAGTACTACTCTCCGTAGTATTTAACACTTTCACCTTATGTAAATAACGCATCGTACAGTGGATACATGTTATTGTAGATGTAAACAATAAAAAATTGCGATACCCTTTCGTAGGGTAAAAAATGCGAATTTATCCACTAGAGTAACACGAATAAACAGATATATCATTGCTGTATGAGAAAAACAGTTAGAGAGAGTTAATTACGAGATAGTAAGCCTAAAATGAGATCTTTTGGTCATACAGCATATCACTTTAGTTTGTATTTTTGCTGATTGCAATGGTCATAAACAGTCTCTTACCCAAAATCGTGAGGTATCCGTGTATAGAAATCATTACAGGCCAACAGCAATTGTTCTTCAAGTTTACGTTTATCACCCACATTTGTTTTGACGATACGTTTTACTCTGCCCCTTGGCTTAGTTTCTGTTTCAGTATTACACGCTTGACTTAAAGCTGACAAGGCACCAATCATTTGGGATATGTTATCCAATGCTTTATAACCTGCACAAATTTGTGATTTACTAAGCTTTCCTAGAGGAGCTCGGCGTGAATCATATTTTAGTTCAGTCATAACTTGTTCCATGTTACTAAAGTCACATATTAATTTCATAAGTACCTAAAAAAGAATTACACAATGAACACAGTAAATTGATGGGAAAGTTAATAAGACAAGCAACGCATATGATAAAGATGAATTTTCTCAGAAATTTTGCTCATAAACGCTTTAGAAAATATACAAGAATCAAATATACCGATATGATGTTTACCACTGGTCGACTTTTAGAAGACACTACAACCTTGGATATATTACTAACCAAAATACTTTCAGCATACTTTCCACATAAACGGTGTACAGTGGACCACACATTTGTAGCCTTTTCGAGAAACCTCTCAACTGGGACGTCTCTACAAATGAGGAGGATACCAAACGACTAAAACTAAAATTGATTCGACCAGCATATGAATTACTCAAGGAAATTATCAAATCCTGAGGTGGTAATATGGGATCCAAGAGAGGGTAGGTTATATGTCCCTAATTTGGTCAACGGTCATCGTCAAGAAAACCGCCTGCTACGGATTTATGAATTGACGCAGCACACAGACTTTACATGAATTATTACAAAATATGAATAACCCTATAGAACCCAGTACTCAAAATGGTGGTCCTTTCTACGAAAAGGTTTATTTCTAGTATCTAATATTTCTGTATGGATTATAGTTCCCTTTTGCTTAATTATAATCTTTATCTGGTTAAGCAGCTCATTTTTAACTGGAAGTCCTATCCTGTTTAGAGTCTTAAGTCGCAAAACAGCCACTTTTCGAAAACTTTCACGAGGAATAAAACATACTTTTAACTGAGTTCTGGAAGTTAAAAATGTTGACAGATAGATAAAAAGCGAAGGGTGACTCGTTTTAAAATCAGAATATTGGAACGATGTGTGGAAAGCTTGGTTGATCTGACCTCTAGCTACTTATTCAAACCATTGCTCACTTATACATTACCAAATAAAAATGATATATCAGTTTAAAGTTGAGAATTTGGATCGACTGAGATTAGGAAATATGTAATATGTGCCCAGCCACCGCCAACCAAGAAACCCTATGCTTGGTAGCATAGGTGTAGATTGACGAAAATTTAGCAGCAATTAGACCAAGAAATATCCGACTAATTTTCGGGGGTGTTGGGAGAAATTACAACTTTTAGATACGGTCTGTCGGATAGGTATAACCCATGAAATGTTTCAAAATAGTTAGCAGTAATGCAGATACCCAGTCCAACTTAAAATATAAAAAACGTTATTCAATACTTTATTTACCTCTTTCAACTGCCTTTTTTCGGATTTCTAGTTTGCCACAACTATCTGCACCACTATTGACGACTAACAGCCATGATTTTTAGCTACTTTATTAGTTCTATCCTTATATGAAGGTAAATTAGACCCACAAACATGTGTTAAGTTCTTCTGTCTGTTTGATCGCGTATCTATTAAACTTGTATTTTTATAATATTTGTTAAATCTTATCACTATAAAGTTTTATCAATAACTCTGCATGACGGTCTTTTTATTTTGTGTGACCCATTATCTGGAGTTTTTATTTAATGATATATGAGTCCGACACTTTTTGAAATAAGCTTGGTAAATACTAGGTTTTTTCAGAGAACCAATTAGTTGTGGCATAATTACCACTCATACATCTACTACAAGTGGTGCGACTTTTAACGAACTGACCCTTACTAAACCACTAAGATGTCTTAATTCATCGGTTCGAGAAAATGACTATAACAGTCAATTTAATGCTAAGTGAAGTGTTAATCCAAGTATTCAAAACGTAGAGCTTTAACTTACCCTTTCGGTCAGTGTTACGAGTTCACATCCTACACTAATAGACTAAAATTGAAATCTCCAATAGCACCTTTAGCTCTCAGGAAGAAGTTTGAACTAAGTTTTCTTTTCATGGTACTGAGTACGTTTATGAGTCATAGTTCATATTTTTCATTGTGAGGAAGTAATAGATTTACAGAAAGTGTAACTACTATAGAATAACTTCTAACAAAACATTTACCTGCACGGCAACAGGAAGTCGTGATTTAACTTCTTTAACCTTCTTTTTCTTTGCAGTTGCGTTTTCATCCTTAGAAGTGAATACAAAAATATACTAAAGACCAACTTGTACACCATAATCAATTTCGACCATATCATACTTTCCATTGTGTTTTATGAAATTCCTTCTTTCTCCCCACTGATTTAGTGTTTTGTCTAGAAACCTATTTTTTAAAATACGTTTACAACTGCAAAATCTTTGTCATTATACTTTTTTTCAAAACAACTCTTAGCAGCTTGTAAATTACCACCAAAATTTTCAAGTTTATTTTGGCCAGATTTCCCAACTCGACCCCAACGAAACCAAACTGAGTAATTGTTTATACTTTCATCTTTTAAAAGCTGTATAATGTAGTATTTATTGTTATTATTTTGAACATTAGTCTAAAATAGTCCACTTTATGGTTAAAAAATTACTTTTTATTACCTGATTTAGCATGGCATCGTAAATATCATCGCCTTCATAATAAACATAAGCTGAATTGACTTTAGCAACACATTCAACGTCGACTGGTGCTTTACCTTTGCAGACTACACGCCTAACTGTACAGTTAATTGATTAGCAACACTAGTAAACAACCTTTTTTAAAGCTTTCTGAGTCGTCTTCCTCATTATCAGAGGGCTGCTGAACTTTAAGGGGATGCTTCATTGGTCTACAATGGAACAAGATGGGATTTACACTGCCACATATTTACAAGTAATCAAAACGTTTTCAACGTAATGACTTATTGGTAACTATACTTTATAAAAACCATTAGAAGTGGAAATCAGCCTGTTAAAAAGATAGTAGGACCAGTTTCATTATCTTTGGTTTCAGTATTAATAAGGTATACAGGATCTAGCCGCAAAAAGAACTGTATATAATAAGAAAGGTTGAATCTCATAAACTCAGTCCAAATAGCTAGAAGAATGGAGAACAGAAACGTAGGAAGTAGTCAAACAAATATCGATCTGTTGTGAACGAGCCTGGAAATACATCATAAGCCCGATCTCCCTATTTTGACGAAAATTTTGTCAATTTTGGGGAAATGGCACAAAAACGCCAAAATGCCCCCAGGTCTTGGAAAAATTCTTAAGTTTTTTGGGTTTTCCCAATATTTTCCCAGGATCTTGTAACACTGAGGAAATCTTATTTATTTACTTATTTATATTAATACAGATATTGGTACGAGGAGGCACCAAATATATATGCGCCACACATCTCATTTGATATGTGTGAGGGCTGTGATACTGCCCGAGTGCCCAAACCGAAGGTGGTGTTCTTAGGAGGCCACACCCGGAGCCTTCAACCTGAATGTCTGATCCACAAAGAAGTGGAGTAGCGTCAGGAGATGCAGTCCCATAGTAGCCGGTGACCGACGATCGGTTCACACGCCATCTGTTAATCGAAGCAAGTATTTTCCATAATCATCGACAGTTCATCATATTTGTCCGGGCACAGAGACGATAATGCGATTGATGTCACCATCTTGAAACATCGACTTCGGTGGCTTGGACATGTTCTCCGAATGTCGTCCCAGAGAATTCCACGTCGTGCATTATTTGCCGACGCTAGGACAGGCTGGAAAAAGCCGAAAGGTGGTCGTTGTATGAAAGAAAGCTGCGAAGGACTGGCTTCTGTCGGTCCTTCACGATTCCCTGGTTGGGGTCCGAGATGGTGCTACACAGTGGCTAGAGACGTTATCAGATATGGCTCAGAATAGAAGCCAGTGGCGATCCTGCTATAACCTTTTACTTTCTTCATAAAAGTGGTTGTATCTTACGCCACGAGAAGACAGTGAGTAGGACTTCCCTGGCAGAGGCTATATACGCGTGGCCATATGGGAGCGTTTCGAGAGGGAGAGCGGACTCTCCCCACTTTCGTCCATACCATTCTAGAAATTCAGGACATCCTATTTTTTTCTTCCACAAACATCCGCAGTCAAAACGCAGCACTATTTTGTATCAGGAACCTAGATGAACACTTATACAGGTAGATCAGAAAACAACGTTGGCAGTAGAGTGCAATACAAGTAATATACAAAGTACAAGATAGATGTTCTCTACGACACTAGGGAGTACTCATTTAAAATACCAAACTACATAAAAAGACAAGGAGATAGTACCACAAGTATCACATTTTTAACGTATTAAGTTCTGATCAAAACAGATATCGATATCTGTTCAAGCAAATTTGCTTGTTTGATTTTAAATGCACTTGAAATTAAGTACATGTGCCTTATTGATAATAAATCCATTGTTCTTTCTTTTGTAGATCTTTTCAAATTACAGTAAGACTTGGCAATTACAATTAAAATACATAACGATTGATGCTCTAGCATCTGCCAACTACTCATCATGTTATACAACAATACGCTTTTCTTTTCAACAAATCTCCTTAAACGTTAAAAGAAACGTATATTTCTTTGAACTATCTATCACGTGGATTGCAGTTTTCGTGTGGCGTGTCATTGGAATAAGTGCGAACACAGGAGACGTTTGGGGTTATGCCGAAGGTGTTTCCAAAGTGCGAGCAAAACTAGAGAAACCGGTGCGTATTTGGGCGAAAATCAGGCAATCCGGCGTATATTTAGGCAAAAAGTAGACGATTCGGCGTGTATTTAGGCGAAAAATAGACAATTCATCAACATTTGAAAGACAGCGACAAAAGGGGAAAACCCACATTATTTCCCCAGGATAGGAAGAAAAGCAGACATTTTGGCGCGTTCCCCCATTATTTCCCCTCTATTTTCCAACGCATTTTCCCCTTTTTTGCCTTTATTTTCCTATATTGGTTGTTTGGGTCGATCAATTGAATGAAATGTCTTAAAATAATTGAGTCAATAAACTTTGCATGTAGAGATGTGATAAGATGTTATGTAATTTGCCTCATCTACGTTTAATATAATTTATTTAACCACTAAATTGACGTAAAATACCGGATGCCTAACGAACTCACGGATAATCACAAAGACACTTAACATTTAAAAACGCGGCGGCATTTGAGCTTTGTACACTATATTCACTCACCAATCTTCTAGTTCTCAAGACATTATAGTCATGCCCCTAGTTCATTTTGTTTCTCCATAGCAGATCCATCTAATGAAAGAACTCAGTACAAAAACTTGCACAAACCGATTATGGCACTGTCAAAGCAGACGTTGCGACCGAAGTGACGAGACTAACGAGGTAAACGAATGGTTTCAGTTTCAGTTTGGGAAAGACAGGAGGCTTGATGGCCTATGTTAGTCCTGGCAATGGTGGTCTCTCAGTTGATCCAACTTTATTTTGAAAGAGTCGACGGATGGAGCCTCAACCACGTGCTGAGGTAGTGAATTCCACTCGTTGATGATTCGATGGGAAAGTCGATAGTCAGCTGACAAGTAATTTGTTCTTGGCTTATGAACTTTCTTGGAGTGTCCTCGTAAATTCTCTGTTTTGGAAGACAAGAAAAATGAGGGCATATCAGGTGCAAATTTATCACTAGGCAATTTGTAGACTGTAATCAAGTCGCCTCTAGTTCTGCGATATGACAACGGGAAAAGGTTCAGCTCGGCCAGTCGAGATTCATACGGAAGCTTCGCTATTCCGGGAACCAGCTTAGTCGCCTTTCTCTGAACCTTGTCCAGAAGCTCACTGTCTTTTTTAAGCAGGGGCTAGCCGCTTGTATGCGGTACTCAAGTTTAGGACGAACGAACACTGTATACAAAGTCAAAAACGTTTTAGCGTCGACATGACTAAAAGCTCTACGTATTGACCATAAGGTTCTAAAAACTTTGGCGGCTATTGCACGGCAGTGTGCAGTAGTCTTTAAGTCTTGACTAACGATAACTCCTAAGTCATTATATGTCTGGACGACAGGTGGCTCAGTGTTATTCATCGTGTATGTATCTGTGCCTTGATGATCGATATGCATCACAACATACTTGGAAGCATTTATCGGCAACTGCCATGTTTGAGACCATTCAGATAACTTCTTCAGGTCATTTTGAAGTTCTAAGCTATCACTTTTACATCGTATCGTTTTCCATATCTTGACATCGTCAGCATATATCAAGACCGATGATGATAGGAGACGAGGAAGGTCATTTACATACAAGAGGAATAGCACTGGCCCCAAAACTGTACCTTGGGGCGCTCCACTAAGCACAGTCTCCCAGCTAGATAACTTTAAGTTCACCCCTACTCTTTGTTGACGCCCAACTAAGAAGTCTTTTATAAACATCAATAAATTGCCTCCCCTAGGATTAGACAACTGCTTAACAGGATCTCATTTGCCTCACAGCTTGGACTGCGATAGACCAAACCAATCAGCAGCTCTTGTCCCTTGCATTTTAAGCGAAGACTAACTAATTCACACGTCACACTCTCATGGGATACACTATCGATAGTGGTAAATGGGATAGCATTCCTAATGAATAGAGCTACTCCCCCTCCTTTGCGCTTTTGTGTTCTGTCGGCCCTTACTAACGTAAAGCCCTCGAAATCAAGTTCTATACTATCTATAGCCTGTGTCAGCCAGGTTTCTGTTACTGCGATTATATCTGGCTTTGTAGAGTCAATCTGTACACCTAGTTCCGATCGCCTATTAAGTAAGCTTCGTGCATTGGTGTAACAGATCCGAAGCCTGTTTAAGTGGCCTCGTGCTTCACCCAGAGTGGCTTCGGCATCATTCTCTGTCGAAGTCTTACAACCCGAAAATTTACAATTTTCAGGTCCTTTTCGCCAGCGCCTAACCTAAGTTGTAGTTCTTTTTCGTCTTCCCGTCTTTTAACACGGTCTGCCAACGGTAGGTCCATTCGAATAAAGACTCTTGAACCCTTTAATTTGTGTCCATTCTGTAAAATTAGATCACGTTCGTTCGAAGAGCTGAATACTACTTTAAGCAGTCTGGAATGATTTGGTTTCGCGTCCGCTAGACTCCCTAGTCTATACACCTTTAGCAAGGTGACCCCAGTCATATTTTGAGGCATGAGTTGATTAAGCAGCTGCCTAATCAGTACAATGTCATGCTCAAAACGAGCTTTAGGTACAGAGCTATCGCTCTCCTTGATTCTATGAAAAATAGCTGATCTGTCGCTATGATCAGCTTTCGATTTTTCAACTACATCTACGGGGGCAGGGTTCCCTTTTATATCCCCACTTTTCTTCCTTACAACCTGTACCCATTCGTCAACGGTGCTGGTAGAAGCAATAACAGTTGCGTCTAACCTAGCGTTGGATTTTGGGGGGTTGTCGAAGACCTAAGAGGTCAGGTTATGTTTACCGCTTGAAACCGATTGAGCCTTGCGATTGCGGCTTCTAGGCGTTTCCTGTTGGACCCCATCTGGGAGACGGGGAACCGAAGACCCTACTTTTCTTGAGCTTTTGTTTAAGACAGGCCACTTTGGAGACCTCTTTTCCTTCTTTGACGGGCGTGAGTCATCTGTTATCGGACTAACCTTAGTTTGCTTCATGTCGATTTGCGTGTCGACAGATCGAGTGCTGTTTGACGCTTTCCGACTATGCTTACTAAAACACTTCTTTGTAGCATCAACCAGTGAGATGGCCTCGGTTAACAAGCTGTTTGCATCCGAGCAGCACTGCTGACAAAGCCATACACAACCCTTCTTACTGAACCGTTTGAAAGCAGCAGGCGTTAAGTTTGTGCATACTTCGTGGTACCAGCCTTTGCACTCGTCGCATTACATGCCGCTTTCAACAGGATAACGACAACCCGGACGTTGCCAACTGCTTTTTTACACTGTCCGGTCATTTAGAAGGGGTTCTTTTTCAAGATGCGATGATACTCAGAAACAAAAAAATAATCAATGACCAAAAAAGTGAAGAGCTGTAGATCGCTAGGACCAAAAGTACTAACAGATACAGTTGAAAAAGAGGTACTCAAGAGTACCAACGACAAAACTAATTGAGAGAACAGTAAAAACGATACTCTAGTCGAATACTGAAATAAATTCAATTAAAGTGAAAACAGTAGTCTTGATACGTAATAAACGATCGAAACAAAAAATTTAATCGGCGAGGAAAAATACCACTGTCCTTTTTTTTCCTTCAACTTTTTCCAATGACCTCTGCCTCACACCTTCTCATAC